GTGATGATGAAACTGACAGACTCATTGAACAAATATTGCTGCAGAGGATGTCTAGTATGGAACACACAAAAAAATATTTTTCGGGCCATATGCTGTGATATCAGAGAATGGCAAGCACATTTATCTGTCTGATGAAGCCATATTCAGGAATCAGAAAGGAATGAAAAAGCAGTGGTCCTATCCTCCATGATGTAATGCTGAAGCAAGCCAGAAAGTCATATACACTTTATATTTTTCCCTACGATTATATCACAACACAGAAAAAAAAAACAAGCTGTAATTTCCACTGCTTTGTCTTTTTCCCCAAATGAAATTTCTCTAAAGCACATCTCACACCCATGTAGCTTTTCTCCAAATGAAGTGAGGGAAAGAAGCTGTACCCTTCCAGATACACTTTGGAGACTCGGTGGCAACACACTTTGTCATTCCTTGTTCTGTACCCTTTTCTGCTGCAATTTTGGAGTATAATACATCTCCATTATAAATATGAATAGTATTAAAAGATATGATCTTAGTGGAATGCTTTCCTTTTGTGACAGGTTGCTTTGTAGGACAAAGCTTATGTGCTTCTACTACTGCTAAAGACTCTAATAATGAAGAAAAGTATTATAGATTGTCATGAAAATTATTAATACTATACTAAATTATGCTTAAGTAATTCCCATTCTCTGATTCCATGCAATTCAAAAATTTAATCTAGGAATTAATTGTAGAAAACACTAAAAGTGTGTCTGTGTACAAAAAAAAAATATGTAATTGTATAGGAAAATCAACATTTTTCCAAAGCATACACTTTTAAGATTATGCAATCTTCTTACTGTGGGATATGATTTTACAAATACTACTTGTATAATAAATAAATAGTTGGCAATTTTAATTATTCCTAAAAAATTGTTTCAAGATCATTTTTCTCCTTCCTCCCTTATTTACCTTCTATTGTAGATTTTGTTTTAATGCATATTGTGAAACAAAAAATGTACAATGTACAAGGAAATCACACTGAAAAGTCACTACACATTCCTCAGATACTGAGTACATTAATATACAACAGTATTCCAGAATTCTGACTTTTTCAGGATTAAACAACAAACGCAAGTTATCTTGCTCGATCATTTTCACATCATCCCAGACAGCATTTTCCATGGTCTGTTTGTTGAGATATTCTCGGAGAAAAGAAAAAAAAGGTAAGAACAAATTCTGATGTCTCGTTTTGTGTTGTTCAGAAAGGAACATGGCAACAGTTTCTGGTTTACAAACTATGACCAAAAAAACCCGCCTTAAGACAGAATTTGTCCTTGAGGGCTCAAATGGGAGGTAACAAGCATTCTGGTTTACCATTGTATAGGAATGCAATTACAAATTCAGCTGAAAATAAAAAAAACGATGACACAAAAAGAAAAAGAATAAATGAAAACGTACAAGGGGGGAAGTAGCTCCAGGATGCTGGACGGGCTCCAGGGGCAGGGGAGACTGGGAAAGTACAATTTAAAAGAAAACACATTATTAACAGGAACATCCACCTGGAAAAATAAAACATTTTCATTTCAAAAGACTATAGACTTGCCTACACTCATTTCTTTAACACTGTGCAAAGAGTTAAATGCTAACACAGGAACCTAATTCTACATGTGCTGAGGATTTCCACAGTTCTTTGCACACGCCCCAAACCTCTTCTGAAAAATCAATGGAAGTTTGTATTATTCAGCAGTACTTTGTAATTAGGGTGTATTTACTTTCAAAACGCTTGAATGATTCAGTTAGAGAATGAGTTACTATTCTGCAACTGGCTAACCACTGGCCATCAGTACAAAGAGAGACAGAAGATTTTTTTTTTGTAACTGTGGAAATAATTATGTACCAGCAGCATCATTTCCCACACTAAAGAAAACTTGAGTGGGGCATTGCCTTTGAAAGCAGCCCTCTCTTCCAATTTGCAAAAGCTGTAAAAAAATAATTTAAAAACCCCTAACCAAAAAAACAACAACAAACCAGCTGTATTTTGAATGACAATAGAATGTCTTGTTTATATATACCCATTCCAGCATTATCCCGGCATAACCCCTTGCCTGGCCGCAGAATGATGCTATTAAAATAGCTAAAGAATTTCAGAGAGGTTTATTTAGTACCAAACGCCAACCTATACACTGATAAGTGCTCAATGGATTAATTAGGAGCTAAAAAGACAAAGAATCTCTTTGAGAGCCTATTGTATTATTAATCTGAAATATGCTTTCCTTCTCCTTTCGGACAATATTAAAACTGTTTGCAAAGGAAGGCAGTTTATGACCCCTGGCTTTTAGAAAACTATATTACTGAATTGTGCACCTATCACCATCTTTCAAGTTCCAATAAATGAGATCACGCACAGACTTCCTCGTAGGCCAGTTCAACCATTTGGCTCAAGGAGACTGCTTGAATTATTTTATGTGTCAGATCTCGGCTTATATGCAGCCTGTCACATGCTGCTGAATGTGTCTATCCCAGCAAATCCAGCCATTTGGAAGCATCTGTAATGGTACATATTACCCATGATTGTGGACAACATGCTGGAATAATGGGAACCCACCAATTCAATGATTTCAAAATGGCTGCCAAGTCTCCCAGGCCTGTATAAGTTGCCTAGGTAACCTTGATTTCTATTGTATATGCTATAATGGGGTATGATTAACTATTACACTTTTGAAAACTATTATTTTAAAAAGATACTGAAAACAAAAGACATGTGAAGACTATCAGATTCATGAGCTATTGTACTTTATCCCACGAAATAGGATTACATTTATCCAGGCACTGCCAGGATGAACTCCCATTTGCATAATAGTATTAGCAATGTTTTCAACTTCTAGAAAAGGCACAAATGTTAAGAGATTTTTAACAGCATGTGTTTCCTAGACAAGCAACTTCAATCCACATCTTCTGTTTTGTTAAAAGGGCTATTTCTAGAATCTCAGACGTTAATAAAAGCACTTCCTAGGTGACATCAGAAAAGCGCATGTAAAAATGAGATGAACAGCATGAGGTTAAGCTAACAAACAAATCATTCACATGAAGTTAATGGCATCTTTGAAAGACCTGCAGTGACATGACAACCAATCCAAAGGATATGGATGGCAACCAAAAGAAAAGGAATCGGAAGAGAACAATAAAAAAAAATGAAGATACCTGTTTGCATGATTTTATAAAGTAGAGACAGCTGAAACATCTGTTCCAACTTTCTCTTTCATAGCACTATTCAACAGACCGATGTCATTCAGCTTCATGCAACTAAGAACGGAACAGGCGACATCCATGTTTGTGCTTTCTCTTAGAAATTACAAGATACACATCATTACAGCTGCTCAACATCATAAAGAATGCATATAGCATTTTCCCAAAACAGAGACGTTTAATCCCAACACTCCTGATTTTAAATATTTGGAGGATGATGAGAACATTGCATTTTCCTTCACAGAAGTTTTATGCCAATTGTAAAAAAAAAAATTATTACTATTCTTTATCCTTAACCCAAACTGCAACAGACTGATCTAGAAGATTTTGCCAATCAATTTGGAATTAGGCAATAAATTGCAAAGAGAAAGTAGGTTATGGATTTTATCTAAGTCTGCTCTTATCCCAAGCATCTCAAATTGGACAATCCTTTAAAATCAGAACTAACAAGTTCTGCAACCCCGAAACATTGGAGAACTTGTTTCAAGTGACCACAGAGTGAAGCTACCATTGAAGGGAACACAGCAAATTTATTACTTCGTCTATTGGAAAGAACCCATTTTGATATGCTGACTCTCATTTCCCATCAATATAATTCTGCCTTCAGGTATATGATGAAACAAGATTCATGTTCAGGTCTGTTTAATCTTATAATATGCTTTGCAACCCTTTATCCCGGTGGTATCTGAATGTCTTAAAACCAAAAATCCTCCTGATCCTTCTGAGAAAACACGAGCAACTAAAAAGTGATAACAATAGTTCCACCTGAATTGACCTCAGCCACAATATAATTAGTTATTAATCTAAACTGTAAAGAAGATTCACAATGCATATGTTCCTCAAAATTTTTCCCTAACCTAAAGCTTTAAAAAAAACCCTCTCTAATTTAAGCAAATTTTATTTTATTTTTATTTATTAATCACATTTTGGAAACACCCATCTTCCTCATAGACTGGGATGATAAAAGATGCTCATAATGTTTATTCTTTCCTTATTCCACAACCCATTCCATATTCGACTACACAAAGAAAAATCAGTCCTAGGTCAAAACAACTTCTGAAATACAGTTCATCAAACATTTAATTTGACTCTATGCTTTGTAAATGACACTTAATGCCCAAATTGGAAGTTACATTCAGTAATTATTGCTTGTATGCTCTTCATTATTAGCATATGGGTTTGTGCTTAATTGTTGATTAAACACATTTTATTGCTGCATTTTGTCTACTTTTAGGAAACAGCCTGAAAACATGTAGGTGTTTTATTTTATTTTATTTTTATTTTGGCAGAGGTTTGTTTGTTTTTTTATTTTGGAAGGCAGCATATAAATTCATAAAAATAAACAATGAGTTTTAGTTCAACAAAATAAGAGTCAACAAAATGAGAGGGAAATAGGCACAACAATGAATCAGATCTGAGTCTGAAGTGCAGGGAGTAAGTTCAATGGAAGAAAAAGCAAATTATCTTTTGCATCTGCCTTACTTGGCAAGAAATTAACTTCCTCTACAGAGTAACTCTGAAAAGCACATCGGTTTATGATGATGATGACCAAGCAATGATTTATGACAATGGTTACCAAAAATCTCTTTTCCCACCCAAAATTCCCACTAAGAAATTAGTGTAAATGAAAATGATTGACCAGCACAAACTAAACAATGAAATAAGTTTGCATGGATGAATGCAATGAAATAACTGTATAACGCAGCAAAGGTACTGAAAACTGTAAAAGAACAGAATTTAAATCAGCATTTTGTGATATTAGGCACACTTGCTTGAAAAGCAAATAAACATACCTGGCTTTGGTACAGAATTGGTCACTGACTGAGGGACTTTGTCGTTAATTAGTTCAACACATTCGCTAGGAAAGAATCCCACCTAAGTGACATACGAAGATAGAAAGAAAAAAGAGAACTTGTATTTAAACAATACAAGGCATTTAAACAATTTCAACAGAATCATGGAATAAGAACACATCCAGATGATTTTGCAAGAAAGGGATTATTCCAAATCCCTAGGTAGCTTTAGTAGAAAGAGCATTCTCCCCCTGCTTTATAGGTGAATAGAACAGGGATTTGCTAGCCTGGATTTCATTTTACTCTAACTAGTTTGCCTGTCCACAGCTTCCAAAGACAGAGACAGATCACTCTTTCAAGAATTACACATACACAGAATATGACTCGAGTTCAGTGAAATCAGACAAGGGTTTAAAGCAGGGGTGAAATCCAGCAGGTTCTGACAGGTTCTGGAGAACCAGTAGTGGAAATTTTGAGCAATTCGTAGAACCGGTAGTGGAAATTTTGAATAGTTCAGAGAGGCAGCAAATACAGTACCATCTCCAGCTGGCCCCAGAGTGGGAAGGGAATGGAGATTTTGCAATATCCTTTCCCCAGGAGTGGGGAGGGAATGGGGATTTTGCAGTATCCTTCCCCTGCCACGCCCACCAAGCCACACCATGCCCACCAAGCCACGCCCACAGAACTGGTAATAAAAGAAATTTGGATTTCACCACTGGTTTAAAGAAAAAAAATCAGGCGTTCACATTTTTAGAGGTTTCGAAGGACTAAAATAGCATTATGAATTATCCAAGGTGTTTTTTCAAGAGGCAACTGGACTTCATTTTTCCTTGAAGACATTTTGCTTCTCATCCAAGATGAGCTGGTCAAAACTGAAGAAGTGAAATGTCTTCAAGGAAAAACAAACAAAGTCCAGCTGCATCTCGAAAAATGACAACCATGACCTAAAGAAGAATTAGGGGTGACATGATAGCAGCATTCCAGTATTTGAGGGGCTCCCACAAAGAAGAGAGGGTCAAATTATTCTACAAAGCACCAGAAGGCAGGACAAGAAACAAAGGTTGGAAACTGATCAAAGAGAGAAGCAACCTGGAATTAAGGAGAAACTTCCTAACAGTGAGGACAATTAACCAGTGGAACAGAAGTTGCCTTACAGAAATTGTGGATGCTCCATCACTGGAGGTTTTTAAGAAGAAACTAGACAGCCACTTATCTGAAATAGTATAGGTTCTCCTGCTTGAACAGGGGGCTGGACTAGAAGACCTCCAAGGCACCTTCCAGCTCTTATTCTATTCTTCTTATCTAGATGACTGAGAATCTCCATAGACATTATGAATTCTCCTCTTCCATTTTCTCTTACCCTGGCATTGATCAGGAGGATTTTCTATCCCTCCCCCAAATTTATACATTATAAACATAAAAGGTAAAAGTTCCCCTTGCACATATGTGCTGGTCATTCCCGACTCTAGGGGGTGGTGGCTCATCTCTGTTTCAAAGCTGAAGAGCCAGCGCTGTCCGAAGACGTCTCTGTGGTCATGTGGCTGGCATGACTAAATGCCAAAGGCGCACAGAACGCTGTTACCTTCCCACCAAAGGTGGTCCCTATTTTTCTACTTGCATTTTTTATGTGCTTTCGAACAGCTAGGTTGGCAGAAGCTGGGACAAGTCACAGGAGCTCACCCCATTACGCGGCACTAGAGATTTGAACCGCTGAACTGCCGACCTTTAGATTGACAAGCTCAGCATCTTAGCCACTGAACCACCGCGTCCTTATAAATTAGAGAGTAAATTTTTTAGAATGAGTATCCATCCTCCATAACTTTTAGAGCCTGACGTATTTAACTAACCTACTAGCTGGACATACCTGAAATCCATGTTTCCCCCTCCACCAAGTGGTCAATTCTTTTGGAGGCATATCAATAACAGAAACAATATCTCCAACCTGGAAATTAAGAAATGAAATATTTTCTCATTGTGACTCAAAGCACTATCTGGTTTGATAAAAATGTTTACTTTACCGGGCTGGGATTACAAAAGCCTTTAAAATAAATAGCAGTAGTTCTTGCCTATTAAATACGCACATATGAATTTAAGTATGTATTACGAGCGCTACACAGTAGACATTTTATTCACTCATAAAAAGAAAATGCTGGATTGCAGCTAAAACCCAAAGTAGGTTGCTGATTAAATTGAGAGTATAGCCACTTTGGAAACATAAGTTATGTGAAAAGAATATTGAACAAACTAATAAAATGTAGTCCTTAACTTAAGATCGGCCACTTAGAGACTATTTAAAGTTACAACGGGCCAAATAAAGATGCTTTGCATCCTGGATTCAAAAGTCTAACAGACGTTCCCCACTCCTGGTCAACTGGTCATGTAATCACATTTGGGTGTTCAGCAACTGGTCTGCATTTATGGCGTTTGCAGCTTCCCACAGTCATGTGACCACAATTTATGCGTTTTGGTGAAAACCGGCATTTACTTCTGATTCCTTGCAAAAAAAAAAAAAAAGTCCATTGCACATAATGAGTATGCTTAACAATCATGGTGATTCGCTTAATGACTGCCACAAAAAATGTCACATCAAGTCCATCAAGTGATGACCTGCTTAATGACCAGCATGATTTACAACCAAATTTCCAGCCTCAGTTATGGTCATAAATCAAGGATTAGATAAAGGTAAAGGTTCCCCTCGCACATACGTGCTAGTCGTTCCCAACTCTAGGGGACGGTGCTCATCTCCGTTTCAAAGCCGAAGAGCCAGCACTGTCCGAAGACGTCTCCATGGTCATGTGGCCGGCATGACTAAACGCCAAAGGCGGACGGAACACTGTTACCTTCCCACCAAAGGTGGTCCCTATTTTTCTACTTGCATTTTTTACCTGCTTTCGAACTGCTAGGTTGGCAGAAGCTGGGACAAGTAACAGGAGCTCACCCCATTACGCGGCACTAGGGATTCGAACCACTGAACTGCCGACTTTTTGATCGACAAACTCAACGTCTTAGCCACTGAGCCACCACGTTCCTTGCAAATCAAGGATTACCTCTACTTAAAAGTCTGCACTTACTTATCTATTTGCCCCAATGTGGTGTTGTTGTTTTTCAAGCAGCAACTGGACTTTCTGGTTTTTCTTTGAAGACCTTTGACTTCTCATCCAAGAAGCTTCAAAGAAAAACTAGAAAGTCCAGTTGCCTCTTGGGAAAAAAATAAAAAGCACCTTTGGGTCCAATCGTGACCTGGATGACTGAGAATCTCCATAGATACTTGTCTATTAGTTTCTCTGTCTTCGTTCTTAAAATTAAGTGTAGAATGACAAATTTATTTTACCAAATTAACAACATAGTACTGTACTGTGCTGTACATCTTATATTTTATATATTACATATATTTTATGTAATGTATATTTTATATTATACTTTATATATTACCTATGTAATAAGAAAATGTACTGTTACACAAGCAACATGGAAAGCTATCAGAGGTCCTTTAAAAATGTCTTTGGCCAGTTGAAGAAAACACAACACAACATTGACTTTCTCTGGGCATGTGCTGAAATAATTATAGATTGATCCTCCTGTTATTTACCTCAAAGGAGAGTTCATCTGCTGCCTGGGCAATGTATCTCTTGATAACGTGAGCAGCTGCAATAGCCGGAACATTAATGGACGACTCCTCATGAACTAGGAGGCGATTCCCCTTGTTATCAATCTGCAACGCAAGGTAGATGGTGAGAAAGCCAAGAATGCGCAGCGTTGAGCAAATTTATTTTTATTAACAAATTTACAGAGGAGGATTTCATGTTGATTTGTAAAGAAAGCCGACGTAAACGGAGCTGCCAGCTGGAAAAAAGTGCAAAAGGAGTCTATGGACACTGTGGTACAAAATATGCAATGGGCACAGAGATGGTATTCAGCCGGTTCTAGCGAACCGGTACCTGAAATTTTTTGAGTAGTTCGGAGAACCAGCAAATACCACCTCTGACTGGCCCCACCCCCGATCTATTGGCTGCTTCCAGAGTCCCAGCTGATCGGAGTCCCAGCTGATCAGCTGGGTCTTCTTTTGTTGCCCTGCACAGGAGAACGTAGCTGGAAAGCAGGTTAGTGGGGTGGGGAGGAAATGTATATTTTACAGTATCCTTCCCCTGGAGTGGGGTGGAAATGGAGATTTTGCAGTATCCTTTCCCTGCCATGCCCACCAAGCCACACCCACAGAACCGGTAGTAAAAAAATTTGAATCCCACCACTGACTGGGCAGTACAACCAACTTCTGCAGAAAGTAGAGTTCTATTTTATAGGGGTTCCACTATTTCCTTGGGAGGGCAGTTCCAGTTAGGCCTTGAGTAGTAGTAGGAGAGATCATTTGAGCTGGCCTCTCCTACCTGGAAGACCCCTTAATACCTTAAGCTGCTGGGGGAGGCCATGATTAGTTTGCATAGCTATATCATTGATACATTATCCACTGCTCTCCTAAACTGTGCAAGAGGTGTTATCAACTTCTTGACTTGGTTCTAGGGGACATGAAGGTTTACACAACCTATAGCTGAACCCCTGCAAGATGAAGTTAGCTGTTCACTACAGGCCCAAAGGTGCTTTTTCAAAGGTGCTTAATACATTGAGTCTCCGGAGAAGGGCGGCATATAAATCAATTTTTTTTAAAAAAAGTGGCAGCTGGACTTTCTGGTTTTTCTTTGAAGACGTTTCGTTTCTCATCCAAAGATGCTTCTTCAGCTCTTGGCTGGATGGTAGGGAAAGGTTTCTGACATTTCCAGGATGGCCTCTTGATGGCAACTATCCATCAAAGAGTAGGTCTGTGAACTGTAAGACATCTTGGACTCGTAGCTACTACTACATGGACAGGTGGGAAATCAGGGGTTGGGAGGGAGCAGAGTTGTCCAGCCGAGTGCCAGATGCAGCCCTACCTGGAATTTGAGGCCCTGGCTAAGTGACTTGTGGCCTAATTACTCCTCGCCTAGACTACTGCAAGGCATTGTGCCACGGGGCTGCCTTTGAGAATTTCAGCTGCTCGCTCTCAGCTGCAGACTGAGTGTATCTACCAACATACACTTGACCAGCATGGTAGCCTATATGGGGCATAATCTCAATGAAGATGACTTTTTGGTCAGTGGCTTGATTCAGGAGGATCTATATAATTAAGGATGAGGATGTGTTCCTGCTTTTATCTTGGGTAGCCTAAGAGCAGAGGGCCTGACTGGCATTTTCTAATTTAGAAACCTTCCCTCTTTCCATTCAATGTGCTGCTGGCAGACTGGTAGACACAAAGCATTTGATGAATTGTGGAGAAGGTGAAGCGGGCTCTTGTACCTCCATCCATGTGAGAGCAGGACCGCAATTTATCTTGTTGCCAGCAATGGCTGAGAGTCGGCACAGGTAAGCCATCAGCATCTGGGTAACAAGCTGCAAGGATGAGGGGAAAAGTGTGATAATTCTACTGATGCAGGGCATCCAGTATATTAGGGGATATAACTGAAGCAATCTCTCCCTCTCTCTCTCCTTCCCCCTCCCTCTTTCCCACCCTTCCCCTCCCTCCCTCCCTCCCACTCTGTGTAGATAGATAGACAATATATATAGATGATATAGACATAGATATAGATATAGTATATCACAGATGTGAAGTCCCACAGCATCCTGAAACGGAAGGTGGAGGTGCGCAAGGTCTCTAACATCCACCAGCTCCGTGACGTCGTCATGGAGGAGTGGAAGAGGACTCCAGTGGCAACCTGTGAAGCTCTAGTGAGCTCTATGCCCAAGAGGGTTAAGGCAGTGCTGGAAAATAATGTTGACCACACAAAATATTGACACTTTGGGCCCCATTTGGACATTATCACTTAGGGGTGTACTCATTTTTGTTGCCACCAGTTTAGACATTGATGGCTGTGTGTTGCGTTATTTTGAGTGAGACAGCACATTTACACTGTTATACAAGCTGTATACTCACTACTTTACATTGTAGCCAAGTGTCATTTCGTCAGTGTTGTCACAGGAAAAGATATACTTAAAATATTTACAAAATGGGAGGGGGTGTACTCACTTCTGTGATATACTGTATATGTCTCTCTATAGAATTTAGAGGCACTAGGCTAAAACCAGTGAGGAGACTGGTTCAGGAGAGAGTGAGTTCTAGTCGCATCTTTGGCATTAAAACTGGCTGGGTGACTTTTGGGCCAGTCACTCTTTTCTAGCCCAACCCCTCTTCTCCATGGTGGTTGTTGTGGGGAAAATAGGAAAGAAAGGAGTATTAAGTATGTTTGCTGCCTTGAGTTTTTTGTAAAAGATAATAAAGGCAGGATATCAATAAATAATTACATGAAAACCTCAGAGATACCTCCCCTCCAAAAATATTATTCAACAACTAGAACTTTTCAGTTAGTAATAACACTTCACTGTTTTACCTCCGGATTATCCTTCAGGGCATCCGAACGGGGTAGCTCTGAGAGCTGAGAAAAGCGTCGATCATAAATACATAGGTGAAGATGTTTATCAAGCACTCTAAAGTCTTCGTAACTCCTCTTCACAATCCAGCTCTTGCCCTGCAGACAGGAAAACAAAAAAACTACGGTGTCATTTAATTCATTCATTCACAAATGCGCAAGGACTCTGTGCACCTGATTATTATCATCATTCCACATATAATCAAGTTTTCACTCAACCAGGCTTTGTTAATCAGTTTCAACCTCTAATTAAAATTCCTTAAGTCACTGTATAATATAGTCTTTTGAATGAACACCAATATATTAGAATGGCAAGTGTAATTTTCAAGGACAACCTCCCATGGTATGCCTGAAGAGAAAAGTTTTCAATTGGGGTGTGCTATCTGTTCTAACATATGCCAGAGAAACATGGACACTAACCTCACAATCAATACAAAAGCTACGAGTGTACAAAGAGCCATGGAAAGATACATGCTCGGCATCACAAGACAAGATAGAAACACCTGCATGTGGATTAGAGAACAATCAAAAATATAGGATGCTATCAAAAGAGCAAAAGAATTGAAATGGAAATGGCCTGGACACATAGCAAGAATAACTGATGGCAGGTGGGTGACTCCAAGACAGTCATGGAATGGATTCCACTTGATAAAAAGCGTCCACAAAAGAGACCTAAAACAAGATGGCTTGATGACATCAGCAAGTATTGCGGTTCCAACTGGCAAAAGCTGAAGACCGTATTGGTTGGAAACATACAGAAGAGGCCTTCATCCTACAGTGGATAGACAGTGGCTAGGATGATAGAATAGAATAGCAGAGTTGGAAGGGACCTTGGAGGTCTTCTAGTCCAACCCCCTGCTTAGGCAGGAAACTCTACACCACTTCAGACAAATAGTTATCCAACATCTTCTTAAATCTTCCAGTGTTGGAACAAGTTGTTCCACTGATTAATTGTTCTGTCAGGAAATTTCTCCTTAGTTCTAAGTTGCTTCTCTCCTTGATTAGTTTCCACCCATTGCTTCTTGTCCTACCCTCAGGTGCTTTGGAGAATAGCTTGGCTCCCTCTTTTTGTGGCAGCCTCTGAGATACTGGAACACTGCTATCCTGTCACCCCTAGTCCTTCTTTTCATCAGACTAGACATACCCAGTTCTTGCAACCATTCTTCATATGTTTTGGCCTCCAGTCCCCTAGTCATCTTTGTTGCTCTTCTCTGCACTCTTTCTAGAGTCTCAACATCTTTTTTACATCGTGGAGACCAAAACTGGATGCAGGATTCCAAGTGTGGCCTTACCAAGGCATTATAAAGTGGTATTAATACTTCACGTGATCTTGAGTCCATCCCTCTGTTTATGCAGCCTAGAACTGTGTTGGCTTTTTTGGAGGCTGCTGCACACTGCTGGCTCATATATGATGATTGATTGATGATGATGATGATGATGATGATGACGACGATGATATTGATATTAGAATATAAATTGGGCTGCCTTAATATGTCAAATTAAATAAATTCCAGTACCCATTTTCAATAGAAAGAAAAATGTAAGCCAGTTAGTTAAAAATATCTTGGAATGATGAGATATTAGAACTGAAGTTGGCAATTCAGGAGTTATTCAAACTCTATGGCAACAGGGCCACAAAGGACACCAAAATAATACACGGCAAGCACCCTATTCCTTGGAGTTTCTGAGATCAGAATTAAAATGTTAATGACAGTTGAAGAAACTATTCTGCATCTGAAATATGAGGATCAGCTTGATCAACAATAGTTTGGGGGGAGATGTAATCTCCAACAGACGATCTCTCTTGAAAACTCAAATGCTACCATAAAAAGCTTTTGAATTCAAACACTTCCAAATCATATCAAACGGATAGACAGCCAAAAAGCAAACAAACAAATCAGGAAAAACAATTTAACACTGGCAATAACTATGACAAAGTACTTCACGAAGTCTCTTAGGTAGATGTATTTTACTAATGCATTTATCCCACTCCTGAATATGGATGCCTTCTTTCCCCATGTTAATTTTTCAAGCAAAACCTTTGGAAGTACATTCAATTGCAGATAAGTATCTGAATAATATGTTTGCCAAGGCACATTATGATTAAGAACTGTGAAAAAGGAAAAAGAGCACATAAACAGATAACAGAAGAATAATAAAGGGTTTCTAGCATTCAAAATTGTAGTGCTCGGCTATTTCTCTTGATTAAATCTCCTTCTGAATGGCAGGATGAAAAATATACAGCTTAAGACTCTGGCTATTTGAAAAGAGATTTGCTGCTTTCAACACTTTATTACATTCCAGTCTCTCTTTACAAACTTCTAATTTAAACAATTTGCTATCAGTCACACTTCCATGTAAAACATATAAGTACAATAGGTCAGGGAGGGAGGGAAGGAGACTGGAGATAAGTGCTGGCAATTCTGGTATAAGAATATTGAGTGCAACACCCAAACATAAATCTATAGCAGGCAGCATTTTTTTAGCGGCACAGTATCTGAAATACTGAACAGCCAAACAATGAAAACTGCTAAGGAAATGGATTTGTATCTCTTTTGTAGATGGGGCTGTGAATCCATCGACCAATATAATGAACGGTTTTCTCCCCTCTTGATGACAGCATCTCCAGTTAAGTGTGTTACTTATTGGTTTAATAGCATCTTCCATCTAGGTGTCCTGAAATTATTTAGAATTCCTCAGTGCCGATAAATTTATTTGACTAAGAGCATGACTGTTTCAGAGTGGTAAGCAGGTTACTCAAGGTTACTCAAAAAAGATACAGTAATAGAACATTTATGACTAATAGGTATGCAGCATTCAGAATACGCCACGTAGTATTAATCAGCAAAGCTTTCCTGTTCTTTATAAGCAATAGCATTGGGATGACTTTCTATGGGTGAGAAAAAGTTTTAAGCACAATATGAAGACTCCTCTGGAAAAATCTGAGACAGGATCTTTTCATACCTACCATTGAAGAATTTCTGTTTAGGGCTAAAGAAACCGTAAGAAACTGATAACTCTTCCATGTTACCATGGATGGTGCACTAAAACCTGTAATTGAGAACTATCTGGATTGACACCTCTCGGCACTTCCATAATTTAAATACAGCTTCTCCTAGGGTGGTATTCTCCAGATTAACTTAAGCCAAGAATTGTCATACAAAAGACCACGTTAGCAATTCTAGCAATCATAGCTCAAATGCATTCAAAAAGCACCTCTAGATGAAAATGTGACCTAATATTAAATAGTAGAAAGTCTTTAGACGGAAATAGTTGGTCACTGTAGGTGACGGTGTAGCAGAAACTGGGGGCGGAGTTAAAACAGGGATCAGCCTAGAATCCCTACATAGCCACAAGTGCAGTCCAACCTCCTTTGAATCCTACGGATCTTTATCTAAATCCAAGCAAGTGCTAACCGTTAGTTGAGAAGATGCCTGTGCATAGGCATGATCAGTTTAATTGGACCTTCATGTGTGGACCTGGTCTTTCCCCATCTGACAGTTGCCACATCCATAAAGTGTGTGCCATTTTTTTCAACCACAGCCAGTTAGCTCCTCATGAACATTGAAGGAATAATTTATGAATTTATGAAGATGGGTCTCCTTTAAAGACTTGAAAGGAAGAAGCTTCACACGAAACAACCGTCTTGGGGACTGGGGCTTATTTACATCTAATATCCCATGGATGGAAGAGGAGAATAAAGCTGGAAACTGATTTTGAGTTGAGTTGAGCCAAGAAGAAAGCAATAGTGAACTACCTCTGTCCTGACTCAAAACCAACAACCTGGGCACATTCATGCAGTTACTAGGAGTCCAAGATGGAAGACTTTGCTTTTGACTTTCACACCTACTGTATTATGTTCTGGGGGTATTCAGTTAGGTATAACCTCTCTCTCCAGATTCACAGTTAAACAGCACCTTGCTCCATGATAAACAGAAAGAGCTGCCAAGGTACATCACTCACTGAAACTGTAATTGCTGGCCTTTTGTCCAGTCTCTCAACAGAACTGCCTGACATCTCTTCAGGCTCAAAGGGAGAGAAAAACCAAGCTGGGACAAATGGCTGCAATTACCAAAGCTAAAACATTGTTCAGTCTGCTGAAAACAAGGAAAGTAAAATCTAACAAGCAGGCCCTGACCTGAAGTTTTAGCTCAGCTAAAAAAAAAAAACCAGAAAGGCTTTTCAATGTGTAGCCGCTGCAAAGAAGGTATAAAAGACACGAGAGACAAATGACGGATGTGCTAGAAATGTTTTGTCCGTTTTTGTACGCCGCGGAATTCTCCCGGTTGAGAAAACGGGTTGTACTCTATCGGGACAACAGGAGAAATAACCAACACAGCAAAATTGGTTATCTAATGGATTAATCCAAAATTTACCTCTTAGCTACCCTGTTTCCCCTAAAATAAGACATCCCCTGATAATAAGCCCAATCGGGCTTTTGAGCGCATGCACTAAAATAAGCCCCCCCTGAAAATAAGCCCTCCCAGAAAATATTTAAACGCATGCACAGCTGGTCCCTGCCATTTCCTCTGGTTTCCTCCACCTGCCCCAAAATAATAAGACCTCCCTGAAAATAAGGCCAAGCGCTTATTTCGGAGTTCAAAACAATATATGACAGGGTCTTATTTTTGGGGAAACATGGTATTCATTCCTATTCTCTCCCAGCAAACTATCTTTCCCAGTTTTCAATATGCAATTACATACTGTACCATTTTCCAATCCAATTTAATTCCCCAATGCAAAACCTGAACATTTGCTTTTTATCATTTGTTGTGGTGGTGGTGGTGGAAGAGGAGGAGGAGGAGGAGGAGGAGAAGGAGATGATGATTAAAAGACTTCTAATTAGTTTATCCCTAGGGCCCTTGTGATAGAATGAGATGATACACAGGAAAAACAGGAAAAGGGGTAGAATTTCTCACTCATACCTAATCTTAGGTGGTTGAGTGGGAAAACACCATTGTCGTGTTAGTCAAAAGTCCTCCTCATTTTTGCTTCAAGCAACTGATAACTTTAAAATAGCATGTTAACATAAAGAAAGAAGGAAGGAAAAAAAAAGAGGTAAACGCATTACGAACTCTCTCCTCACCCTCCAAAAAAAAGATGTTTCTGGATCACAGATGTTTAGTGAGACTAAAAATCAGAGAATTTCAAGTAGGCCATGTTAAAGGGAGAGTGTATGAAAGCCGTGATATTTTCTTTTTTTAAAGTCTACTTATCTGCTTACAAAGTTGATAAATTGACGTGCATTCGGCGAGCTACTCAGTGAAGGGAAAGAAACAAATTTTCCAGTCCAGAAGTTTCAAACGGGCTATTGCTAGAATGACTCATTTCTTTGGCTTTCTACAATGCTCCTCTTATTTGCAACAAATTGCTTCTAAGCAGCCCAGGTCTTTGAAAAGTACATGGATAGATGCCAAACTAATAAGCTAATTTCTGGATCCAATTTAACCAATGACCGTCTTCCACTGGCACATTTGGTTTTTCAGATTTTATAAATAATGGTAACAAGCCCAAGACTTTTCTTTATGTTCAAGAGCCATGTTGATTTCCTCTTTGTGGAAAGCCATGGCCTTCTTTGCCTCGTGTAGATTACTGTTTCGAAAGCAGCATGCACGTTGATTGGGGAATGTCAACATTTGTCTCTATTAGGAACAACAACATTTGTTCAAGACCAAAGTGACATAAGGCCCTAGCAAAGGGGCACTGAATACACACAGATTTTTCCTCCTAAAAGAGGAGGTGTGCTGTAACTGATCAAATTTGCTGGGTGCTTGGAATGATGTACCTGGGGACAGGCAATATTTAAGTTTGACACAAGTGAAGTCAATCAATCAATCAATCAGAATAGAGCTGGAAGGGACCTTGGAGGTCTTCTAGTCCAATTCTCTGCTCAAGCAGGAGAACCTATACCAGTGATGGCAAACCTTTTTGCCATCAAGTGCCAAAAGCAGGGGGAGTGCAGGGGGTCACATGTGTGTGTGCCCACACCCATAATTGTATGTGCACGCGATCTCCCTGCGCTCCGCCCACTTTTGGTACGCGATGGCATGGTGGGCCAGGTAGGCCCATTTTTTTGCCCTCCCCAGGCTCCAGATGCTTTCTAGGAGCTTGGGAAGGGCAAAAACAGCCTTTCCCACACTCCCGGAGGCCCTCCGGAGGCCAGAAACGGCCCATTTCCCAACTTTCAGTGGGCCCGGAAGGCCCGAAAATCAGATGGCCAGCATGCGCATGCACGCTAGAACTGAGTTAGGGCAACGCTCACATGCCCACAGATATGGTTCTGCATGCTTTCGCCATCATGGACCTATACTATTTCAGATAAGTGGCTGTCTAGTTTCTTCTTAAAAACCTCCAGTGATGAATCACCTAAAACCTCTGAAGGCCAGACGTTCTACTGATTAATTGTTCTCACTGTTAGGAAGTTTCTCCTTAATTCCAGGTTGCTTCTCTCCTTAATTAGTTTCCATCCATTGTTTCTTGTCTTGCCTTTTGGTGCTTTGGAAAATATGTTGAACCCCCCCCCCTTCTTTGTGGCAGCCCCTTAAATACTGGAATACTGCCATCATGTCCCCCCCAGTCCTTCTTTTCTCTAGACTAGCCATACCCAGTTCCTACAACTGTTCTTCATATGGTTTAGTCTCCAGGCTTTCAATCATCCTAGCTGCTCTTCTCTGCACGTATTCCAAAGTCTCAACATATTTTTTGTAATGTGGTGACCAAAACTGGGTACAGTATTCCAGGTGTGGTCAATAATGCATGTTATGTGTATTTGTTACTGATAACTGCCGGGATTGTAAATAACAAGAACACAAATAAAATTCAAGATAGATGAAGAACATCATGATTAATCACCTAAAACTGTTAAAACAATCTTTCTGTTAAAATCTGTAGAGCTTAAAACACTCTAGAAAGTCTTTTTTTAAACAAAAAAAAAAACAGATAAAATTTCATAGCAATAAAAGTGTTAAGAGGATGAGATGGACAAAAAAACCCCCAAAACTGTCAGACTCTGGCAGATGAAAAAGAAGGTGGAAAAATATTCTGTAATTGGAAATACAGTTCAGAAGACTTGTTATGATTAACCACTAGGTATATCTCAGTGCCTGAGCTCAGGGATATGCAGAATATTTTAGCTGAAATCCACAACCTAGCACAAATTCTCTAATTCTCTGCCCTGCAGTACAAAGATTAAAATTCTAAACCTCTAAAGCTGTTTTCTGCTTCCAGCATGAACTGTGAAAAACATACATGTTTAAGGTTGCAATTAAAGTCCTTTGAGGTTTTAGCATCGTTTTATCATAAAACCCACCTATCCTCCTCCCCCTCTCAAGTAATGGCTTTGTTGTCCTTTCTGAATATGGGAGCCATGCCTATTCCTCGACTTACTACCAGAGTTTGCGGCCAGCATTTCTGTTGTTAAACAAGGTGATTGTTAAGTGAGTCACGCCCAATTTTACATTTATTTATTTTTTTGCCACGGCTGTGAAGTGAATCATATGGGTGTTAAATGAATCGGGCTTCCACTGTTGACTTTGTCGGAAGCTGGCTGGCAAGGTCATACGTGGTGATCACGTATTCAACACGTATAGTGCAGGTTATTAATATGTTAACATGGGTGGCAGAAACATTTTGAGTAAAGCCTGAACCATCCCTTCCTGGATACTCCTTAATGTAATTAAGTTTCTCATTGTATCCAGCTGTTGGAAGAAATATCCATCTGGTTCAGTTCCAAGTGGGAGGAAAGACACTGGAAACATGGAGGCTGATTGTAAAGATGGTTTAATGATCAACAGAACCAGCAAGCACATGGTTCTGGTGCAACTGACCATATGGAGTTGAGAGTGAGGGGTTTTTATACCTTCTTTTGGGCTTTGCACTTGAGCTTCCAGTTCCTGTGGCAAGAGCATGTATTCTACTGGTTGCTGTCAGACTCCCATGGGGCTATGCAGAGGTCATAACTGAATTTGTCTGAGCTCCCAGGTTTGGTTGAAGCTGGGAGGGTGATGATGTAATGAAGAGGCTTGTGTTCTGATGAAAGGGTCCTATTGTGGCTTAATGGCATTGTCCTGGTTTGGATCTTGAGTGAGGGCTAATCCCATCACCCTTAGGCTGAAGGTCTTTTGTCTTGTAGATAGGTTGGCCCAGTCCTTCTTAATGGGCACCAAACATCTGCTGGGGGCCGGGAGCTGGGGCTGAGTTTCTGTCTCCCTTAAGATTTCTATTTCTCTTTTAGGGGAAATATAATATTCTGCCTTTTTAATATTTCATAAAACATTTCATTCTTCTGGGAGAGGGTGGCTTCCCACACAACAAAAATACATAAGTGATTCCAGGATAAATGGATCCAATTTAGTAGTTACTCAGGTGTTTCCTGAAGCCCAATATTATCTTCATGTATTATAAACAGTGGGAAACGTGGGAGAAAAAGAATCCCCCAAGTATCATTCAGCTCATGCATTTTTATAAAATCAAGGGAAGAAGGGTCATATTATTTACCTGACAAGAGATTTGTACCAGGTAGACAAGCTCCTTGGACTCACAGCCATTTCTTGTTACTTCATTCTGTTCCTCGGGGAGTGAAAGCTATTCCGGGCGGAGGGGTGGGTGGGTGGGAGGAGAAAGAGAGATACAGAGACACTAGGTCGGTTAACAAAGATAAGCCAAACATATAAAAAGTAGAAGATTTAAACACAACTTGCTTCAAAATGCATTTTCTATGAAAGAAACAACTATTATAATGTAGGCTGGTTGTTTTTGTTTTGGCTCAATAGATTAAAAACATTCTATACTCTGGTATCAATCAAATAACGTTCATCTTGCAACATCAAACTTCTTAAAAAGCCAATACCATTCAAGTAAATTTTAGAACTTAAAATTCCTAGTTGGCGGAGGTTTTTAGTACTAGTTTCATAGAAACAGTTCCACGATCCATCACTACTTAAGGCAATCTTCTATCTAGACACCTTAATCATCTTTAAAGATTAAATAATAAGACATTTCCAGATGCCAATATACAGTACTGCAGGCCCAATTGGCAAAAGAAAGCTCAGGACCATATAGGTTGGAAAGATGTGGAAGAGGCATTCATCCTGCAGTGGATAGATAATGGCTAAAATGATGATGATCACTGTTCATTAAAGAAAGATTAATTGAAGTAGGTTGCTCTCGCTGATCTTGGGTTTGTAAAGTTGGGGAGAAGCAGTGATCTACTGTATATGTATATATTGTCAACTCTGAACTGAACCAGGCCGCAACCATCTTTCTGTTCCTTAGTTGCCACACAGAGTGGAAAGGGGTAGGGGTAGGAGGTTGGAATGCATTACTAGACACAACAAAGAGATTTCTCATGAGAACCAAGGTCATCTCTACCGTCAATAGATAAGATTGGGGAAGGAGTGCCTGAAGAGCCCACCAATTAACCCAATTGGCCAACATGATCTGTGACACTTGGGGATGGGGTTATTTCCTAGTTTAATTATACTGAAACCGCAGGAAAGATTTAGATTTGGTTTTCCATTGAAGCTGTGCCAATATGATGTACTCATTAAATAAGACCTTTGGGAAGTAGCCAAGTAGCCAATCAGAGTTCTGATTTGATTGGGTTCATTAGTCGGAGCCTTGACATATATTTTAATATATGTGTATATACATGATACTTTGTAGGAGAAATCAATCAATTTAAACAGTCTTCCGAAATGCTTTATTCAATCATGCTTCTGGTAAGAATTCTCCATCATCTAGGGCAGAGATATCCAACTGGGAAACTCTTAAGACTTGTGGACTTCAACTCCCAGAATTCCCCAGCCAGAATGACTGGGAGTTGAAGTCCACAGGTCTTACAGTGGGCAAGGTGGGATATCCCTGATCTAGAATGAATGGGAAGGCAGACAGGCAGAAAAGGTATATCCACCCATTCTAGGCTTTGTCTCTCCCAGAGCTACTGTCCTACTGAGTATATAAATTTTCAACCTCATTATAATTTGTATTTATATGGTGCGTTACGGCTTAAAAGGCATTCAACTTGGTTAAAGCTTTGTAACGAAAAAAGAAGAAGAAATCCCAGCATCCACCAGTTCTAACAATTCCCAGACCTGCTACCATGGTCCATCCAATACTTACAGAAATAAAGAAATGCAAAATGCAAAATACAACAAGTCTTCCTGATTTATGATATATTCTCACATACCCTTTGGTTGCCTTTGATGGACCTTTTGGTATGGTGTCTTAACCCTTTGATCAAAAGTTCTAATCCATTCTTTGGCTACAATCCCTCCTGTGTGTTAACTTCCCAAGGTAACTCCTGCTCACTGGTCATTTCACACTGATACCAAGGACTTACCATGAGACTAACCAACATTAAAAGATGGGATTAGTCCTTTTTGAATGATTTACTTTCTGTGGACCTGCAATTGGTAGTGACATTTAACCAAAGTAGAATTTAATGGAAAGGTTGATGCTTTCTCTGGCAATAAATAGGATATTTCCATCAAGTAGTTTGTGGAAATTTCTATTTTTTTCCAAAATGGGAGAATGTAAGCTTGCTAGTCAGCATGCCAAGCAAATGTTCAGATGGCTCTAAAACAATGTTTCTCAATCTTGGTAGCTTGAAGATGGGTGGACTTCAACTTCCAGAATCCCCCAGCCTGGCTGGGGGATTTTGGGAGTTGAAGTCCACTCATCTTCAAGCTACCAAGGTTGAGAAACACTCCTCTAAAATGAATCTGTAAGTAAAAAGGCAAAATGGGTGCTTTGAAGTGGATTTTGGATTAAACGGAATAACCGAACTGAAGCTTAGTCCAGATAAGACTGTGGACAGGTAGTCCTTGACTTATGACCACAATTGAGCCCAACGTTTATGTTTGTAAGTGATACATAAATTTGTTAAGTGAGTTTTGCCCCATTTTATGACCTTTCTTGCCACAGTTGTTCAGTGAGTCACTGCAGCCGTTAAGTTAATAACCCAGTTGTTAAGTGAATCTGGCTTCTCCACTGATTTAGCTTGTCAGAAGGCCACAAAAGGGGATCCCATGAGCCCGGGACACTGCAACCGTCATAATATGAACCAGCTGCCAAGCATCTGAATTTGGATCACGTGACCATGGGGATGCTGCAATGGTTGTAAGTGTGAAAAACGGTCATAAGTCACTTTTTTCAGCGATGTCGTAACTTTGAACCATCACTAAATGAACTGTTTTAAATCGAGGACTACCTGTACTATGAGTGGGAAAAGCTGGTAATCTGAAGGGGAATTGAAGTGAAGCTGCATTCCCATTTATGCAGATTTATAATATTTTTTGATTTGGCCCAGGTTACAATCTGATCAAGGGAAAAACAGGCCTAGCCTGAGATTGTTCAGAGTTGGTACAATTAAATGCTTGCCAATCACATGATGTGTTGTACACTGTGCTGCTTTTCTAGATAATTCAGAAACTTTAACTGAATGCGGGGGCTCAAAAGAACTGCCATAATTTGAATCCCCCACCAACAAGTTACAAATTGTGGAACAAACATCATGTTTTACTAGACACACTCCATTCATTACTTCCTGCAAATGCCGTATTTTTCAAACTATAAGATGCACATTTTTGTCTCCCAAAAGGGGCTGAAAATGTCTGTGTGTTTTATAGACCAAATATTGCCAAAGCCCCCCACACCTGCTGGCCGTTTTTTGCCCTCCGCACACCCCATTTTCGGCCCTTTTCCGGTCCACTCTTGAGGCTTTTTTCAGCCCATTTCAGGGCATTTTTTCCATTTTGGAGACTTTTTTCAGCTTGTTTTTTCAAAAAAAATGGGTCAAAAAAAGCCTCAAAAACAGGCCAGAAAAAGCCCCGAAAAGGGCTGGAAAAAGACTGAAAAAGGGCCAGAAAAAGGGAAGCCAAAAACATGTTGTTTTCCTTGTCTAAATTTAGGTGCATCTTATAATCAGGTGCGTCTTATAGTCCGAAAAATACGGTACTTGATCACATTCAACATAGAAGCCTATCACTATTATCTCTTCCTATTAAAACTCAGGTTGAGAAAAAATATATATAGCTTCCCATTTCCACAAGCAAAAGAATTCAAGTGGCTTTTTATTACCACGCAGAACTATTTAATGGCTGACTATCCAGCTCAATTAAAAGCTCAATGAACAATGGCTGTGGAAGTGTTGTTGTGCTTTCACGCAAACTGCAAAACAGATATTGCTATCACAGTAAAGACAGTAAAGAATTGCCTAAGGAAACCTAAGATTGTAATCACATTCTTAACGACAATAAAGGTCACACCACAAGGCACACATTATACATAATAAGTATGCAGATAACCCCATCCTGTGCAAAGGAGCAAGCCGGGCAATCATTTGTGGGCTGCAGAGAAGATTTTCCTGCCTTTTTGAAACTAGAATAGCCAGGCACATACCCCACACTTTTAAAAGAATGAGGGGAAATGTCAAGTTTATGGACAATTCCAGGGTGGATAAAAATGAATGATTTTTTTAAAAAAAATCAAAAAAATCGTATGTTTTTGATTTAAATCAGATTTTTTTTTATTTAAATCGAATTTTTTGATTTAAATCGGATTTTTTTGATTTTTATCGAATTTATTTTAATAAAAAACTTTTGGGGTAAAAATCTATCATAAGATATTTTTCTATTTAAGATACATAAATAATTTCGTTTATTCAGCATGAAATGGAGCTTAGTTATGTAGCATGAGGCTTACATTCTGCAACACTGGGACTATCGGTGAGTCAGCAGTGGGTCAAAGGAGTAGCAGAGATGACAGTTGCTCTTTAAAAATTATGATTTAAATCGAGTTGATTTAAATCAAGCCTTTTTACTAGTGATTTAAATCATGATTTAAATTGTGATTTAAATCAACTCGATTTAAATCAAATCCACCCTGGACGATTCCAACAGAAGGATCTCTCAAACAAAGACATTCAAGATGATCGAGCAAATTCAGTTTCACTGCTATTAATGTAATATTCATCTTACATAATATTCATCATTTTATTCCATTTAATCCAAAATCCACTTCAAAGCACCCATTGTGCCTTTTTACTTACAGATTCATTTTAGAGCAGTGTTTCTCAACCTTGGTAGCTTGAAGATGGGTGGACTTCAGAATCTGGGAGTTGAAGTCCACCCATCTTCAAGCTTCCAAGGTTGAGAAACACTGATCTATAGCAATAACACTTAGATTTATATACTGCTTCACAGTGCTTTACAGCCTTCTCTAAGCGGTTTACAGAGTCAGCATCTTGCCCCCCAACAATCTGGGTCCTCATTTTACCCACCTCCAGAAGGATGGAAGGCAAACTTAAGCCCCACCAGGATTGAACTCAAGGCTATGGGCAAAGTTTGCCTGCAATATAGTGCATTCTAACCACTGTGCCACCAGACAATCACCCAAATTTAAATAAAATTGATATTCCACCGCAGCCCTATCAGATGCACCAATGAACAGGCTTTTCCACAGGCAAAATCCCCCCTTAACCATTATACATTTCTGACATGCAGTAATGTGGGGATTTGTGTACCCCAGGTAATACTTGATTTATAACCATAACTGAGCTCGGAATTATGGTCCTAAGTCCTAAG